GTGGTGGCTGGCAGCGAAATCTCCCTGATGAAGATAATGGCCCAGTTGTTTTTACAGGTATTCAAGGGACAGTAAGAATGGGTGCATTTTGTTTTGTACAAAAGGAGGGGCTGAAGAGATAGCTCAGCAGTTAAGTGTACTTAAACTTGTTGATTTTCCAGAGAACCCTGGTTCGATTCCCAGCCCTTACATGGTCGCTCACAAAAGAGACTGGTCATTCCTTCTACTAACTGAGTTATCTGCCAGTTAGCTCAACTGTATCTTGTTACTCAACAACCTGGACACTGGAGACCCTCATACTACTTGGGAACAAAGCTGGTCAAGCCAGGAAAAAAAGGTTTAGAATTTTATACCTTGTGAAACTATCCATCCAAATAGGAAGAATTCCAGATGCAGTAGTGTGAGCCCAGTGTCCCAGCTACTGGAGGCTAAGGTGGGCAGATTGCTTGAGTCTGCCTTAAAAAAAAAAAAAGAAAAGAAAAAGAAGAAATGAAAATAAAGATTAAGGAATAAAAATAGTTTTCAGATATGTAAGGTCTGAGAAATTTATCACCTGAATTTTTCTTTCTAGGAACGTAGTGGAGGATTTACTCCAAGGAAACAGGAAATCAGGAAAAGTGATTGGATGCCAGGAGGCTGACAGCGGGAGCTAGGCAGGCAGGAGCTGTCCGAAGCATTGGCTGGTAAGGAGTCTGGTATGGACTTCACTGGAGTGTCTTTTTCCCCCTTTCAAAGTCCCTTCTGCTGGTGAAGGGAATCAGACCAGGGCCTTGACATACAAGGCAAGTTCTATTGAGCTACATTCCCACCTAGCAAGTTAGAATTCCTTTTTATAAGGATATGGGCAGGGCACTGGTGCACACCCTTGATCCCAGCACTTGGGAGGCAGAAGCAGGTGGAACTCTGTGAGTTCGAGGCCAACCTGGTCTACAGAGTGAGTTTCAGGACAGCCAGGATTACACAGAGAAATACTGTCACAAAAAACAAACAAACCAGATCAACAAAATAATAGTAGTAGTAATAATAATTATAATAATAATAGTAATAACAACAACAACAATAATAATAGAATGATGATCTAAAATGGAGACCTTTTTTTCCACCTCAATTTTTAATTCTTCAGTCCTTTTTGTTTGTTTGTTTGTTTTTGTTAAGACCAAGTCTCTCTATTATGTTGCCCTAGCTGTCCTGGAACTCACTATGTAGACCAGGGGTCCTAGAACTGACATAGATCTCCCTGCCTCTGCCCTCTGGAGTATTGGGATTAAAGGCATGGGCACCACACCTGGCTCTTGGGTTCCTTTTCAGCAATGTTGTGATTGACATTAACAAAGAAAAACAATAGTTTTAATATTTTTTTATATCTCTTATTACTTTGAAAAGCATTCTACTGCTTTTTTTGGGGGGGGGTGTCTGGAAACCACTGTTACTTAGAAAAACTGAAAAATATATAGACTCCCAGTTTATGGTGGTGGTTCCATCCCTGCAAACCCACTGGACATTGAAAGCACACTTAACACACCTAACTTACTGGCCACCACAGTAGCACTCCCTATCTCCTGGCATGCTGCTAGCTT